CTTTCTGCTCTTGAGAACCAGCTACCCAGCCCCGAAAAGCTCAGTCATCTTACTGTGCCCCACTCTCAGCACCAGCCCAGATGCAGTGCATCTCATCTAGCGAACTTACCATCTTCCTTCTGTGGCTATCACAGATTTTACACTAAATATATCAGGTTTGATTGTAAAGTATTACTTTTGGCAAGGTATAGCTTTTTTGTCAAGAATTGAAGTAAACTTGAGTTACAACTGAAGAGTTATTTCTTTGGTCTTGTAGGAGAAAAATGATCAAATGTGTACAGACATACAGTAGTGTATGGTGTTTCATGTTTAATTGCATTTACTAGTTCTTTCAGCTAGCATAAACATATTTCTTTTAACTGTTAAAACACAAGCCAAATAAGAATACTTCACTTTAAGATGGTATTATTCTTAACTCAGGAAAGCTTGTATGGTTCCTCGATGACAAAACTCAGGATTTTAAACTGGTCTTACTCTTCATATGTGTTTCAAGGTTCAAAAAATACCAACTGAGCTGTTACTGTAAAGTTTTAGGATGTGCAGAAGTATTTGTTCTTTTAACTTCATAAACACGCTTCAGGGAAAGCTGCAAAAGTTTAAGGTACCTAATTCTTATTTTTTTTTCATTTGCCTTATATCCGATATCTGCAGAGATTGGAGCTGTATAAACAGAATCCTTACTTAAGCGGTCGAGAGTCACTGAGAAGTCTCAGTGCAAGTAGGTAGTTTGGTTTTTAAGGAAAAAAAAAATTGTTTTATAACGTCCCTCTCCTGCTCCCTCCTTTGGTGGGGGAAAGGAGGGAGGGAGGGAGGGAGGGAGGGAAAAAAGGTTTCCTTTTTAGGAACCAAAATTGAACACCTACATGCTGACACTACCCAACAGTAGCACAACAAATGTTATTCTGAACTTTCTACCTTATTACTATCCTCCAGTATTTCCTATATAAGAAGGAGATCTCAATAAAGTCTTCCCACATGTCCCAAATGGTTAGAAGTCCTCTCAGGATTCAGCCTGGAAAAGCACTGCAACACCACAAAGCCAGACCCATCCAGGAGAGCTTGGTTCAGCTCCAGACATGCCCTCAGCCACTGTGCGTGCACAGCACCAAAGTCTGATGAGCTCCAGCAGCAGCAGCCAAGCTCAGCGGCAGGGTGGAGGTGCGGAGGTGTCCCGACGCTGCTTTGGGGAGTATCATGAGCAACCAGACCTGCTCTGCGAAGCCTTTCCTGAGGTGCTGAGGGCCACCACAGAAAGCTCTCGAAGAGCAGTGGTAGCCCAGGTACAAATCGGCCTCGCTCCAGCTGCGGAGGTTGCGTCGCCGGCCCAGCCTGCCCTACAGCCGGCACGTGCACCGCACGCCTACAAAAACATGCCGCCCTACAGCCCTAGACGGCTTGGTAGAGACGACTTTTTCAGATAGGTTGACAACTCCACGTATCTGAAAATAGCTATGGACATACATGAAGATGTAACACAATACACAAATTCAAAACTTGGCAGCGTAAGTTTTCCACGTGCATGCTTCAATTTTGCAACCACCACACTCTTACAACCCTCTAGGAAATAAGACAATTCCACCTCAGCTCACACACTGTCTGTAGCTGTACCAAACATATGGGGGTGGTGAATACATACACTTTTTCCAAGCACTCTGCATATGATCTATTTCTACCGTAAGTTTTCTTCCAATCACCGGGAATAATAGCTAAGCTTTCAGACCGCAGACTAGCGGCAATCTTGACGCAGTTTCATGCATCTTACACAGTAGGAATGAAATCACTTCAAATAAGACTATGAAACTCTAGCTTGTAAATGCTTGTTCTGGGAACACAATATGCTCTAGAATCCAAGTGAATTAAAAAGAGCAAATTAGCATCTTCCAACAAGTCAGCCTACATATTTGAAAAACTACCGGCCTTCAAGAAAAGGAATGGAAGCATATCCTTACAATATTTTTATCAAGTTCAGTGACAAAGAGTGATCTCTGAAACACAAGTCCCTGCTTGTTCCAATTCAACTGTACTCTTCAATAGTTCATCAACGAGGTAATTGAGACTATAGCTTAGCAGCTGATATTGGATGGCAACAGCAGCGCAACCCGCTCCTAAGTGCTGAGCGTCCACACCTTCCCCTGAACCAAAAAAAAAAATAAATACATAACAAACCCATCACTTTCCAGTTTACAGGATCCAACACCAGTTTGGAGAATGGCAGCCTAAAGAAAAGAGCAACCAAAAGCACAGCTATTTATAAACCCAGCTTCTCGTTTGCCCCCTTTCAGCTTGGGACGCAGACTGAGCTGCCCCCTTACCTACGCATCAGAACTAGGAAATCAGTTTGACGCAAGTAGGAAAACGCTGCACCGAAACCCGCCGTGGATCTTTACGTGGTCAGGGAATCAACCAAGAGCCGATGAAGAACATGTCATATGTGTTTTGAGGAAGAAAAGAACAGTTGGAAAACAGAAGAGGTAAAACAGAATGTGTCAGACAAATATGTTTTAAGTCAACATTGCAATAAATGGAAAAAATTGAAATCAGGCAAGGAGACCTGAACATTTTTAGTTGTTAGAGCCAAAAGAACGGCTCAGATACAGCCTTACTAAAATACCTTCCTTCCAGTACATAAGTTATATCTCCAAGTACAGTTCAATCAGGGTTATTTTGGAGTTAAACTCAGCTTTAAAAGCAAGCATTATGTGTGTTTAATTGTACTCAGAAGCTAGGACTCATTCAAGAAGGTGATTATATAAAATAAACAAATACCTTATTTACTGAGACTTCATTTTGAAGACAGGGCACATACCGGAGTTAAACCATTAACTTTTCATTCAGTAGGACTGAAGATAGAGCAGCGTAAGGTATACAAACTTACAACTTACTAAAAGTCTCAATGATCACATTTCCTACACTAGCTCACTTTAAGAATGCAGTTTCCAAGACAACTTTTAAAGTCATTTTATTTTTGTTTTTAAAATGAGGAAGCCATGATCTTAGGACTGTATGTTCTAATAAACCATTTCAACATACGTTTTCTCAATACTTTTGAAAAAATCTAGGGCTTTAAAATTGAAGAAATAACATAGCTTTGCCTTTGATTGTTGAACTTTTACATATCTTTAGTTACAGGTTAAACTACTGTTGGTGCATCAACCTAGATCTAAAGCTTTTCTCCTTATGAATCACACAAGAAACATCATTGCATACGTGAAGGAAATCAAGCACAAATTCAAAGAGTTGGTCAGTAGATATTCTAAGTTGCATAACAATGCTGCATAAACTTATTTAAAAAAAAAGACAAAATAAGCTGTACACTCACCATACTTATGGCCTAGGGCTGTTTTTCCAACAAATGGGAAGGTATGCTCTTCCTCAGATGATACCTTTTACTGTTCACATGAACATGTTCTAGTGAACAATTAAGAAATTTGTTACTGGGTCATTGCCAGAGAATAAGGTTATAACTAATACTACACCCGTTCCTGTCCAAAGAGGACTACATCTAATCTGTTTCCATCTCCAAGTCAGTCTCTGCAAGTAGCAGCCAAAGTCTCCCACTGTCCGTCCTTCCCGATGGTTCGGCCAGAGACGCTCACTTATGCTGCTTCCCGTCAGGCAGCGGCAACCCAAGACGCTAACTTACCTAATTTTGGCTTCACAGGGCGTATTTCAGAATAGCCCTGAGGTGGCATATCACTTGTCCTGACAGGCAACATCATCCTAATGAGACCATAAATTCTCATTCATCCATTCACAAAAATAAACTCTCTCCCAGACAGTAGTATTAGTTTCATAAAAAGCACGATGCATACTTTGATCCAAAAAGCTTGGAAGCAGCTCTGTCATCAGCTGTAACACAATACAACTGACTCCTCCACTGTAGGGGCAAACAGCTTTTATTGAGCTATTTGCTACATAAAATCTCTAATAGGAGCCCTACAAAGTCCACTGCCGGTTACATACAATAAACATTCTCCAGAAGTATTAAAGGGCAGACAGACTTTAGAAGTTAAAAGATTATCAAATTCAAATGAAAGCTCCTATTCAGGACTGATTTCTTGAAAATTTTGGATGAGACGCGTACAATCATTAGAACGCTGTCTGCCACACCATAACCTTTTAACCTACGAACCTTTTGCACCTTCGGGTTTCCACCCCCGAGACTCGTACCCTGCAGAAACCAGTGCTCGTACAGCGACACAGGCAGAAGCCTGCCGCGCTCCGCCGATGCCTGCAGAGGCTGAGGCTCAGCCACAGGCAGCTCAGGTCTGGGGAGCCGAGCCAGCGCCTGCCTCCCTGCCCGCTCATTTTCTCCCAGAGCGGGCGTTCACGCGCGCAGCAACACACGCTGGGCACAGACAACGGGGAGAACCCACTCACCACAGAAGTGGCATGAGTTTACTGGTATACCAGGCTGCGACCTGCTGCAGGCTGGATGCTGCTCAAAAAGCAGCAAAGGCAACAACCTCAGAGGAGGATCAGACTGGACAGCTGAGGGTTATCCACTTCTACTGTCCAAGTTCAGTATTCACAGAATATAAAGCTGGTTGCCCAAATACTGTTACAGTGTGATCCGACTGCCCCATGGTTTCCTCCCACAAACAAGTCCCATTTTTTCAGCATATACAGAGCGTGCAGAGAGCTATGATAAGCCTTCTCACTAACACAAGCTGTTCACGGCAACTAAGTGATGCAAACAGCCAGGTTCATGCCCTACAACAGCGTATC